TCTCCTCCGCTGGTTATCGCCTACGCCATCGCCGGCACTATCAGGATAGACTTTGACACGGAGCCCATAGGTGAGAGGTCCAATGGAACAACGAATTTCACATTTTGTGTCTTCGCTGCTAAAATTAGAGATTTCACTTACTGTATCTTTAGCTGTGTTCTCCTCATTCCTATTGTTCTGTAACTTATGATGCAACACTGACATTTTGGTACACACACACATTACACCTCCCTCTAGTGGTAGAGTAGAGATAGGGCAGGCTGATGGCATTATTTCACCACATAATTCCATCTAAAGAAATTATTTTACCTCCTAAAACACCAGTAAATACTCTCCTTATTAATTTTAATGGATAAAAATAATGTACTATTTTCAAGCATTTCTGTCGTCTGTTGTAGCCACCAACAGCGACGGTAAAGAGGTGTATCTCCGCGACATCTGGCCGACGCGTGAAGAGATCCAGGCGGTGGAGACGACGTACGTGATCCCCTCCATGTTCAAGGAGGTCTACGAGAAGATCGAGGTGGGCGACCTCCTGTGCCTGTTGTGTAGTGTGAAACAATAGAAGTGGTTCTGATGTGTTTGTTGTGTTTGTTAGAAAGTGAACGAGCGCTGGAATGCTCTGGTGGCTCCAGCCGAGAAGCTCTACACCTGGGACCCAGACTCCACCTACATCAAGTCTCCACCGTTCTTCGAGGGATTGGTAAACGGAGATTTGTGTTTTGATCTCAGACGGGACACATATTTGATGTGTGATTGTGTGTTTGTGTGTGTGTGTGTGTGTGTGTGTGTGTACAGAGTATGGAGCTGCAGCCTCCCAGATCCATCATAAACGCTCACGTGCTCCTGAACTTTGGAGACTCCGTGACCACAGACCACATCTCTCCTGCTGGAAACATCGCCCGCACCAGCCCTGCAGCGCGCTTCCTCACCACCAGGGGGCAAGTGCTCACACACATCTACATCTACTGTACACTGGCTTTTCTACCTTCAAGGAACCACCTACACACACACATACAAAATACTGATATATTCTGAATGTTCTTAATGAACAGTGGTGTGTTACAGTCAAAACATGGGTGCAGTGTGTAGGGGATGTTAGAGTAAGTTGTTGTTGGTTCTTATTTATTTTTTATTCTGGACTGCTGCTGGAGTATCTTCCTGTGTGTGTGCGTTTGACCCATAAGTCCTGTGTCTCTGTTCAGTCTGACTCCGAGAGAATTCAACTCGTACGGCTCCAGACGAGGGAACGACGCCGTCATGGCCAGAGGGACCTTCGCCAACATCCGTCTGTTCAACAAGTTCCTGAACAAACAGGCGCCGCAGACGCTGCACCTGCCGACCGGAGACATCGTAAGATCTTATACACTCCTCATGCTCCCGCATCCTCATCATGTGACTAACTCTGCGTTGTCATGGAAACAGATGGATGTGTTCGACGCCTCTGAGCGATATCAGCGCTCCGGAGTGCCGCTGCTGGTTCTGGCCGGGAAAGAATACGGATCAGGAAGTTCAAGAGACTGGGCAGCGAAGGGCCCCTTTCTTCTGGTGAGGGAAGCTTATGAGTTTTAAGGTGGACTGTTTTTAGCTTAGAGAAGAAAGTGTTTTATTTAAGGCTGTTATTTAAAACTATTTATTTTTGCTTGTCATTGCTTGTTTTAAAATGTGTATCTAGAAACCAAGAGACCAGAGCAGATCATAAAACACATCCCTGTTGGAGAACTTTTAGACAGAAGTATCTGTTGTGTGGTGCAGGGCATCAAGGCGGTGCTGGCAGAGAGCTACGAGCGAATCCACCGCAGTAACCTGGTGGGGATGGGGGTGATCCCTCTGGAGTACCTCCCTGGAGACACGGCCGACAGCCTGGGCCTCACCGGCAGAGAGCGCTACACTGTGGTCATCCCAGAGAAGCTCACGCCCAGGATGAAGATCGATATTAAGGTACATACCCAGTGGCGTTTAGCACGGTTCACTCTGGCCTGTGATTGCACCTCATTACTGCTGTTAAATATGTATCTGTGAGATGTTTATGTGTTAGCCTACAGTAGCTAAGGCCAGAGAGAGAGACTTAGTTTATATAATCCTCTGGTGCACACTGGGGACTTTCATACGTGTTTTTCAATGTGGTTTTACTGCAAATATCAGTAGCTGCTGAATCTAAACGTCCAGAATCCACCTGGTTGTATCTGTTCCCGCAGCTGGACACGGGTAAAACATTCCAAGTTCTGATGAGGTTCGACACCGACGTGGAGTTGACGTATTTCCATCACGGAGGAATCCTCAACTACATGATCCGAAAGATGTCCCAGAACTGACCGCATTCCCCTCGAAGCCTCAAGAGTCCTGCTGCTGCGTTCACAATAGACTTCATCTGGAAATGCCATACAAGCCATAACCTGCACCGCAAAACACACCAGCTACACACAATTAAACAACATGATTCTTCTATATCTATTTAGTCCGATGCCAACACACACTGCAAAAAGTTATGAAAAATAAGCAAAAGGTTTCTCAATTTGAGCACATTCTGACTGAACCTTAATGGGATGAAGCAAAATATCTTGAAATAAGACTAAATGGAGAGATTAGAGAGATGCCAGTGATAGATCATAGACTACAGAGAGGGGGACCAGAGAAACAAACCTCTGAGCAAATAAAAAAACAAAAACATTCTCTGAAATAAGACTAAATGGCTCTGTCCCATTGGCACATTTTATTTTAAAAGTTGAAATGTAGTCAAATTAAGATTTAAAAACCACTCAATTCAAGCAATTATTAGTATTTTTTGCGGTGTCCACTTCTCCCACTGGTTTATCTGTATGGTCTTACATAGCGGCCTTCCAACACAATAAAAATACTCAAACGCCAAAATATGCATCTACAAATAACTTTTCTTGCTCTCCATAGAAACAGCACAGGTTCAGACTGAAACACAATCAAATATTGTTTTAAATGTGCGTAGCTCTTGTTTTGCCGTGTATAAAACCAGAGAGTTTTCTTTGGTCACATGCACTACTTGGATCTTTTCATTATGTGTGAATGAAAATCATGTCTTTGTTGTTAACTTTGCCTTAATAAAGAATGGTCAGATATCTAAGTAGACTGAACAGGGTCAAATAAATAACCTATAAAACAGGAGTTTTTGATTTTTTTTTACTTACTGTCAGATATCCATGAAGCGACTTGCAGACTTTGTTAGAGTAGAATCCTATTTAAGATGACTTCCTGTTGCTCTTATGTTTGCTTGATGAAGGCATAATGCCGAAACGTCGCGCTTCAAATAATTTTTAATTTGCATGTAAGACTGTGTGCGGGATTCTTTCTATCATAATATTACAACTAAAAATATCAATATAATATCTTGCAGTAAGTTGAAGGCTGCAAGAACTTTCTTTGAACATATCTTTTTAGTCCTAAATCTAGCTATTTATGCAGCATTGAATCACTAAGTCCCAGTTATTTCAAAGAAGCAGGAAAAGAAAAACCAGACATTTCCTTTGGCATTGACACACATTTTAATATTTTAATTCTATATACGTCATACGCACACGCCAGACCTGTCCCACCACCACAAGACTTACCAGTGTATATCACCAGGAACCGGAAAAGGAAGGACTTTTAATAAAACTAGGATTTGAAATTACACCAAATATTAAAGTATTTTCTAATCTAACTTTTTTTTGTTCCAAATAAACGAGAAATTTGAGCGCTGACAATATGCAAAACCGAACACCAACACCCGTGACAACAAATGTAAATAAACGATCCATGATTCGTGGTCCCATGTAAACAACAGCTGTTTTGAAGGCCAGCCCTTGACATCCCACTGTGGAACCGACAAGCTGGACAAGAGTTCTAAATTGTGAGGCTCATTTGCTGGACGGCACGAGGAGGCCGGCTCTAAACTCTTGAAAACAACACTATACTTGAATGGGTGATTTGCGGAAGAAAAAACACAGTGATACTCTTTAAATATTTAAAATAATATCCTTATCCCTGCTTTTCATCTGCCCCTGGGTTTGTGCAGTGAGGTAGAGGACAGGAAATCTGGTCCAGCAGAACATGGGGACTTTTAGAGAGGTGTAATTGAAGTTGTGGGTGCGTTTACATCAGCATCAACAAGGGACAAGCCCAAATGGACGGATGTGGAATAGAGGACAGAAATACCTCACTTAAAGTAGCTATTTATCTCATGTCTTATGCACATCCCTGCTTCCATTTCAACTACACCAAAAAAATTAATTTTTCACCGGTTCTGAATTTTGGGCAAAATTTCACAACTTTTCATCAATGTTCAGGGGGTCAAATTAAGGTTCAAAGTGCAGAAGAAAAAAGAAAGAAATAAATAATAAATAAGGAATTTTTTTTTAATTCTTCGAGCAAAAACAATATAGGTTTCCATAGTAACCTATAATACAAATGATACGTCGTTTTAAAGCGAACGACCAGACGAACGCAACTATTGGGTTCTCGGTGATTGACGAGCGCTGTCGCGCTCGTCAATCACCTCGCCATCATGAGGTCACCCCCCCCCCCCCATAGGACCCCATTGATTACAGTGTGTACTACAGCAGGAGCAAAGCCATTCAGTGCCTCCGGCACTGTTTTGTCAGTGTCTGGGCACGCGCCGTCGGGCTTGGGGGACGAATGTCCGGGCTTCGCCCGGACATTCGTCCGTAAAACAGTTGAAGGAACCCCCCTTTAATAGGACTTCAATCATTTCACTGTGTACTAGAGCAGGAACAAAGCCATTCCGTGCCTCCGGCACGGATTTATCAGTGCTTGGGCACGTGCCGTCGCGTGCAGGTCACAATCTCCGGGCTGCGCCCGGAGATTGTGACTTATGACAGTTCAACGAGTAATGCCTGGGCTTCGCCCAGGCATTACTCGTTGGAAAAGCAATAGGCCCTTACCCCGGTTGGGGCTCGGGCCTAATTAAAGCCGCAAGCGGCATCTAACGGCCCTCGCCGCACCGCGCAAAGGAGGTGGCGCTGACGCGCCACTTTCCCACTGCCCTGACGGGAGCGACACTGTGACTTTTAAATTCCTATGATCAGTGATTGTGTGTCTCTATTGAAAAGGTAAACCCCAGTCTCTCCATGTAACACTTGTATCACTCTGTAGGGGGCGCTGATGCTGCATTTCCATGATTTACACGTTCAGTTTACTCAAACCCAAGAGTTGGACTATCAAATCAAATTTTGTGCAAATCGGACTTTTTATGTGCAAATGGTGTTATTTAATGTTGTACAACAGCGCCCCCTACAATTTAATTTTTTTTGTGTTATACCAAAGAAAACCAAAATAATAGACTTTATGCCTGAAAAAAACTTGTGGCAAAGATCAAACAACACAAAACCTAAATTCCTGTATCCCCATGTATACCTTTAGTCAGCCTGTAGGGGGCACTAATGGGCCAATGTCATTGTTCCCACTGTCATGTGACCTAGGCCCAGGAGTTGAACAACAAAGTCAAGTTTAGTGCAAATCAGAGTTTGTGTATGTGCAAACAGGAGCACATGTAATCTGTGAGTGTGTCCATACAGTCTCCATTGGATAACATGGGAACTTCACACCTCTCTATGAAAATAACCACACTTTGGGAGTCTGTCACGCTCAGACCGTTTGACTAATTAAAACTCTATATGCAACTATTGATGGTCCATGTGTGGACACCATGTGGAGCGATTTTCAGACAAATTAGGGAAACGGCCGTGGCTGGTTTGATGTTTGAGCGAGGTGTACTTTTCAGAGATTTAACGATTTTCTCATAGACACAGACAGGGGAGTGTTGGTCGTCGCCACGGCAACAGGGTAAAAAATAATCATATGTTGTCATTGACTTTTTGAATCCAGATGACAAAACAGAATTATGTGCAAAATTTCAAACATTTTGACAAAACTAAATTTTAAAAAGCCCATGTAAAACTTTAACATAGTCTGTAGGGGGCGCTAATGAGCCAATTTCAATATTTCCACTTTCAGATGACCTAGACCCTGGAGATGAACAATGGATTAAAATTTTGTGCAAATCCGGCTTTGTTTGTGCAAACGGGAGCAAATTTACTTTTGTCAAAAATCCCCAAAAAAATGTCACATTTTGCCGCTCCGCTGCTCGGACAACGTTTAATTGATCCAAATTCTATATTCAATAATAGATGGGACATGGGTTTAGACCATGTGGAGCGATTTTGAGACAAATCGGTGAAGCGGCCGAGGAGGAGATAATTTCCAGCCGACATGTGTGAAAAAGATCAATTTTCATTTTTCCATTTTCCAATTAAATTAATGAGCTTCCTGTTTGTCAGGGGGCGGAGCCATAATAACTTTTTTTTCATGTCTTGACCTGAGGAACATGTGTACCGAATTTCGTGGCTCTACGACAAACTTGACCTTCGACCCCCTCCCATAGGCGCAATGTAAACTGACTTTTGTAGGGGGCGCTGTTCTGACATTTTTTTAGTCCCATAAAAATAAACACCAAAAAAATTAATTTTTCACCGGTTCTGAATTTTGGGCAAAATTTCACAACTTTTCATCAATGTTCAGGGGGTCAAATTAAGGTTCAAAGCGCAGAAGAAAAAAGAAAGAAAGAAAGAAAGAAAGAAATAATAATTAAAGCCGCAAGCGGCATCTAACGGCCCTCGCCGCACCGCGCAAAGGAGGTGGCGCTGACGCGCCACTTTCCCACTGCCCTGACGGGAGCGACACTGTGACTTTTAAATTCCTATGATCAGTGATTGTGTGTCTCTATTGAAAAGGTAAACCCCAGTCTCTCCATGTAACACTTGTATCACTCTGTAGGGGGCGCTGATGCTGCATTTCCATGATTTACACGTTCAGTTTACTCAAACCCAAGAGTTGGACTATCAAATCAAATTTTGTGCAAATCGGACTTTTTATGTGCAAATGGTGTTATTTAATGTTGTACAACAGCGCCCCCTACAATTTAATTTTTTTTGTGTTATACCAAAGAAAACCAAAATAATAGACTTTATGCCTGAAAAAAACTTGTGGCAAAGATCAAACAACACAAAACCTAAATTCCTGTATCCCCATGTATACCTTTAGTCAGCCTGTAGGGGGCACTAATGGGCCAATGTCATTGTTCCCACTGTCATGTGACCTAGGCCCAGGAGTTGAACAACCGAGTCAAGTTTAGTGCAAATCAGAGTTTGTGTATGTGCAAACAGGAGCACATGTAATCTGTGAGTGTGTCCATACAGTCTCCATTGGATAACATGGGAACTCCACACCTCTCTATGAAAATAACCACACTTTGGGAGTCTGTCACGCTCAGACCGTTTGACTAATT